GAAATGGTTCAGTAGTTAAAGCAGGTACCTAGTGAGTCACTCCAAAGCTGGGTACAGTTTGTCCTTGACTTCAAATGAAGAAACAAGAGCCATTACCTGGACTCAAAATGAGAGTTTATTGGTCTTGCAAGTTGGAATATGAGGAAGTCACTGCCATCCAAACATCAGTCAGGAAAAATGGAGTCAGAAAATCGTGTTGTAAATATGACAAGAGAACCCCCTGATGACAGTCTTCCTATCACAGGGTACCCTACGTTAGCAGAGACCCTGGTGATTGAAGATAATAAGTACATTCTGCTCAATCCAAGTTCAACAGCTTCACCCCATGCTATCACACAGTTCTCATGAGTCCTCAGAACTTACTCGAACAGTGTCTTTGTCTCCGATATTCCTGTGAACAGAAACTTTTTCTTTTGTTCTGTAGGAAATTCCTACCAGCTTCTTGATCTGTGCTGTTTGGTATAGTTGCCCCTAGAGACACATAGCTATCAAAAATGAAGGTTTGAGGGCTGGGCATGTAGCTTAGTTGAGAGAGTACTTGCCCAGCATGCATGAGGCTCTGGGTTCAATCACCAGGATTGCATAAAACCAGACATGTTGTTGAATGCACTTGGGAGACGGAGACAGGAGAATCAGAAGTTCAAGACCATCCTCAGCTACAAATTGAGTTTGAGGCCAGCCAGCTTGGTATACATGAGATACTGCTAGCAGGGGAGAAGGGGGAGGGAGACAGGTTTCAGTGTTTCAAAGTTTAATATCCAATTCCTTATTCTCACTAGTCACTTTACAGTTTGACTGATCAGCCCTGTGGTTAGTGGCTCCCTGTGGACAGCACAGATTGAAGCCTGTCTGTCAGACAGTCAGCCTGATACATCATGAATTGGTGAGAGTTCACCGAGTGTTTGGGGCAAAGGAGGAAAGATCTCACTGTCTCATCAAAAACACACCTTGATCTAATCCCTTTTCTTTTTTCTTCTTTTGGTGTTGAAATCGAAGCAGATTCTCACACAAGCTCAGCAAGTGTTCTGCTGCCGAGAGCTAGCCCTATCTAAGCGTATTTAATTGCCCACCTTTTTTCGGAAGTGAACCCTTCACAATAGTGATGTAGCAACGAGTGTGTTTATGTTTAGAGGAGACTTGCTGGAAGTCAAGTTAAATCACGACATTGACACGGACAGGTAAGAGGCTTCCAGCTTCAAGTGTGAGATCTCTCTGCATACAAAGCAAACATCTCTTGTTAGAAAGTTCCAAAAGAGTTCATTAAGTGACACTTTTCTCTGTGGGGCTTTAAAAAAAGGTGTGGGGAAGGGGCTTGTAGCAAAGGCTCTTTCAGGGCTGGTTAGTCATGCTGGTCAATAGACTTTGCTGAGGATGGGCTCATTCAGGTGAGAGACCATATGAGTCCCCATTGTGAGTGGCCTGGAAATGCATCAAGAAAACAGACAGAAAGACGCCCAAGTATGGACACATGAGCAGCTCAGGAGGAGTGGCCCTGTCAGAGTGGAGAATAGGAACACCATCCAAAAGCAAGCTGTAACTGGGGCTAGGGAGACAGCTCGCTTGTAAAAGGCTTGCTCTGTAAGCATGAAGACCTGCATTTGACCTCCAGATCCCAAATAGAAAGAGGAGGGTGGACAGGTCCTAAGAATCGACACCTGAGCTTGACCTCTGGTCTCTGTACACCCATTTGTACACACACAGAAGTGTCTTCTTGTCCCTTCCACCTGGTACCTGCATCTGCACACCCAGATCCTTGCGTTGATCACATTCAATGTGTATTGAATTAACTAAGTAGTTCATGACCAAATAAAGAGAGAGAAGAAGGGTGCTGCAAACAAAATAGGCCTGAAAACTGGCATGGCGTGGAGACTTGTGGGCGAACAGGGACAGGCGGTGTTGATGGAGCAGTGTGCCAGTGCAGGAAGCATGAACGCCAGGGGGACCGAGGCACAGGGGGTTGATTAGTCATGCCCAAAGTCTGGGTGAGTGTGGAACTCAATGGAAGTTTTCTTTTTCTTGAAACATTTTTCTAATTTAAAATTTTTAATTTTAATTGTCAATGTTTTGCCTACTTATATGTATGTGAGTGCACCATGTGTGTGCCTGTTCCTTGTGGGGTGTCAGATCCCCTAGAACTGGAGTCACAGGTTGTCATGAACCTCCATGGGAGTGCTGGGAATCAAATCCAGGTTCTCTACAAGAGCAGCCAGCGCTCTTAACGGCTGAGCCACCTCTCCAGCTCCTTCAGCTGTAATTCTCATTGGAAGCACAACATCAGGTTTTCGTTGTCAAGAATTCTGAGAATGCACCCCCCTCAGACATTGGTGTGCATGTGGTGGCCGTGGTGGGGAGGAGGGCACGGGGCACATGCTGATGAGGAGGCTGTTCTTTGCAGTGACTCTCCGCCTGACTTCCTGAGACAGGTGCTCTCTCTCTGAGCCCTAGCTGGCCAGTGAGGCGCTGCGATCCACCTGTCTTCACCTCCCTCTGGGGTTACAGGTGCCACACCTAGCTTTTGGGGTGAACTGGGCTTGGGTTCTCACGCTGTCCAGCCCACACTTCACTGAACCGTTGCCACGACCTTCAAATGACTATTTTCTAATAAAGGCTCAATTTAATCAACACTGGACCCGTGGCAGGTTCAGCCCCATGTCAACTCTCTCCAAACTCAGTGGCTATTGTATGCTTCTTTGGCTTCTATTCATATTGGAAATAAAGTACCGCTACTCTTTCCAAACATCGTTGTAATTGCGAGTTACACTCAATACTTTCTCCTCTAGCGTATCAAATTCTTTGCTTCTTGAATCCCCCCGCCAAAGACATACTATAATAGTAATTTCAATGATTCTATTGATGGCTTTTAAGTCTTTATAATTTAAATTTCACTATTTTCTGTTTACCCTTATGGCTGCTGGCTAGGTATAGAGTTCTACATGGAAAGCCAGTTCCCTTCACACTTTGAAAAGCACTTCCTAAAGCTGTCTTCACTTTGTTTCTCCATATTGGTGCCATTTTGACTCTTATGTTCTTTTCTTTTTTATGTTGTTTTATTTTTTAATTAAAATAGAATTACATCACCAACAACTTTCTATCCATCAACCTCCCCTTACGCCCTCTTAAAATCACTGCCTCTTCTTTGGTTGAGGTTGTGTGTGTGTGTGTGTGTGTGTGTGTGTGTGTGTGTGTGTGTGTGTTACACAACCTGCTCTATTTGGTATTTATACAGGTAATCAGGGCTGACTCTTTGGTGTTGAATAACCAACTGGCAGCCTCATCCCTGGGGAGAACTGTTTCTCCCTCTCTCGGCACCACATGTCTATTACTTTATACACGGGTGTTTTACCTGTATATGTGTGTGTGTGCTGCATGTGTGAAGTTCACAAAGAGGTCAGCAGAAGGCGTCAGACCACCTGGAAGTGAACTCACAGGCAGTTGGTGGGTCTCTGTGTGAGTGCTGGAAACTGAGCCTAGGTCCTCGGCAGGAGCAGTCCCAAGTGTCCCAATCTGATTCTTGATTCCTGAAAAGTAATTGTTACTGATTTGGGCATTTCAGGTTTCTTGCTGTCTAAGTTTAATGTATGATGTATTTGTAAACAGTTTCTTTTAGATCACTCCTTCTTGGTCGTCGACGAGACTTTTAAATTCAGATGTCTTTCTGGTCCCTTCCCTTCTGTGTTTCTGAAAGAGAGTCTCATGCAGCACAGACTGGTCTAGAACTCTGCTCTGCAGCTGAGGATGGCCTTGGGCTTCTGACCCTTCTGAGTGTTGGGATCACCAGTCCGAGACACCACCACTGCTTTAATTGTTTCTGGGGATCAAATCCAGACCTTGCTGCATTCTAGACAAGCCCTTTATCCATTGAACTTCACCCCTCACCCCATTGCCATGTAGCTCAGGCTGACCTAGAACTCATGATGGATCTCAGTTTGTCTGCAGATTCACAGTCTTACACCAGCCTCCGAGCTCTGGGATTAGTGTGTGCCAGCCCTCATGTCAGATGAGATTCCCTTTTATTCTTATGTCTCAAAGTTGGGTGAGTTCTGTCGGTGCCCTCGTTTTGTCCTGACCAATGGAGGTTCCAGAGAGAGACCTCTCACAGTCGAGACATAGTAACTCACATGTTCTGACACTCTCTTTTGTCATCTGAAGTCTCAAAAACAGTGCCATACGCATCAGAGCAACAGTCAAGGTAGAGCTTGGCTGAAGAAGATCAACCTCATTACAATATTTTGCAGAGCTTACCTGTGTTCCTTCTGCATCAGGCCTCTGGGACTTGAAAGGCTCAGAGTTGGTATCTGTGCTCTCTGTTGTACAATACAGAAGTGCCTTCCCTATCCAGCTTTCTAAAGAGGGAAAGCATTGTGTATTAAACAGGCAAACTCACACAGTAATACCCTACTTCATATTTAGATTAGGAGATTGTGGTTCCAAGAGATTCAGCACATGTCCAGATTTTGTTTGTTTATTTATTCATTTATTTTGACATCCCTGGCTATCCTGGAATTCGCTCTATAGACCAGGATGGCCTCGAAGTCAAAAAGATCCTTCTGCCTCTGCCTCCGGAGTGCTGGTGTTAAAGGCGTGTGCCACCACCACCCAGCTGGTGACGAGTGTTTTTAGTGAGAGGAGAACAGAACTCAAACCTGAATCAGCCAGACCCCATGCCCTTCCCATTGAGCATCATCAGAGGGTCCAGGTCACCGAAAGAAGCAGTTGGGAAAACCTTGCTTTCTCAGCTCCTAGCATGAATTTACACACAGGATGGAAAAGCCCAGCAACAGAGGAGAGTAGTGTCTAGAAAGCAACCTAGGCTTGTGGCAAAGAGCCCTGGCTTCTCTACAACTGACAGTCACACTAGTCAAGGCACTTCCCTGGAGTAAGATCCGAGCATCACTGTGGCCTTTTTCAGACACAATGGCCCTTACAGAGCTAACTCTGTAATTGGAAATGAGCAGTCTCTGGCACTCACAACACAAATCAATCCCTTTGCCTCTTCACAGAAAAGCAAACCTGGCGGCCTTTCTAAACAGCTCATTTTGAAAGGATTGTAAATTCAGCAAAGAGATCTAGATTGGAGTGAGGAAGTCAGAGTCTCCACACACCACAGACCAGCCTTGAGAACCTGCAGCTCACTGCTCTCTGGGTAGTAGGTTTCTTTTATTTCCTTTTTTCTAAGGTTTGTTTTTATTATTTTTAATATTGAGTAGGTATGTGTGTCTGCACGAGGGTGTGCACACATGAGAGCTCGTGCCTGTGGAGACCAGAGGCCTCAGGTCCTCTGGAACAGGCGGGTGTAAGCTGCCTGACACGGTTGCGAAAAACTGATCCAGGCCTCTGGGAAAACAGCAAGTGCTCTTAACCTCTGAGCCAGCTCTCTGGGCTTCTTAACTGTGCATGGGAGAAGCCTGACCTATGTTGCCCACAGGATGATGTAAGAATGAATTTGCTATAAAATATTTTATCGGTGTAAGCTATTTTGTCATATTTTCTGTGCATTAAAGAAGGATTTCTGTGCCTTCAGTTCCACAGGAGAGAGGCAAACAGGCATCTAAGGACCTTGGTGCGTGCTGGGAGGTGGGAACGGGCCCAGCGGAGAGAAGAGCCTATGTAGTCCTCAGTCTGAACCTAAAGTCAAATCTTTCCTGCAAGGATAGAAATCTCACTCTTCCGAGTGAAGCATCTTTCTTGGAATATAAAGAGACAAAAAGGAGAGGAAAATTGCAGAACAGAACCAAGCACAAATAAGCGAAGAAATGGGAGAGGAAACGGGCCATTCTCAGACTACAGGATCCTGTTAATTTTAATAACGTGGGCATTAAAGATTTTGTTTGCACACAGGGAGAGGTTCTGCTCCTGGCTAGACAAAGCTCAGTGTGTGTCCGTTCTTAACCTATCACTTGAACAGTTCATTTTTTGACGGTAGATAAGGGTAATTATTGGTAAATAGCTCTATTGCTTCATGACTTCAACAGGTTATCACATCCCGAGGCAAGAAGGTATAAAGCTGCAGGAACGGGGGACCACTCAAGCTGAAGAAGGCAGGTTCTCAGAGTGTTGCTGCCAACCAGGTAATCCTCCCTGCAGCGGGGAAAGAGGGCTTTCTGTGAACACCTGCTATTCTCTGCCAGCTACCTAGTGGTCACAGCTCTGTTGCTTTTGCTGGGGTGCTTGTTATAGTACTCTTTGGTTTAAATAGTTTATTTTAAAATCATCATCAATAATAGCTGTGTAGGTGTTTGCACATGCGTGCTGTCGTGTGCGCATGCGTGCGTGGCGGGCTGACCTTAGGGAACTCCAGCTCTCTGGCGTTCTCTCCTTCCATCTTTTCAGGGGTCCCAAGGATGGAACTCAGGTCACCAGGTTTGCATAGCAAGCATCTTGCTCTGAGTTGAGTTGTTTATTTTCTTTCTGCTCTTACTGAAAGAGAGCTGGCTTTGGCGACCAGGTCAGCAGTGTTGGGTCCGGTGGTGGCTCTGTGGACTGTTACCTGTGAAATTTAGAGAAAGTTACAGAATACAAAGAGTGTCACTTTGCTTACTTGCAAAACACTAACACAATTCAGTGTAGTTATGGAGGTCAAAGGACATGATAGGACCTCCCCAGATGTCTCAAACCCGTTTACAGTAAGGAAAGAAATGCTGACTGACCTCCCTTCCTCCAACTGGTCAGTCTGAATGTTGAGTTCCAGCCATTTACATTTCAAAGGGTTTCAGAACTTTGAAATCCCACACTACTTTTGAAAGGAAATTCAGCTAAGAAGTGCAAGGTGATTTTTAAAAAATCAAAGCAAATAAGAAAGGAGGGATGTCCCTTCTGTTACTGTCAGACCCAAGTGCTCATGGGGGCTGCAGATAGAGCTTCTAGAAGTCTCCAATTTAGATATGCTTTCGACCCTCCTAAGCCATCGACTATTTGAGACATTATTATTTGGTTTTATCAGAAAGCATGGTTAGATACAAATTCAATGAATTCTTCATTTTCATGTTATTTTGGGAAAACCACTATGGCTTAGAATTGCCTTAAAGAGTAGGTAAGAACAGGAGGGCATGTGGATACCTATTTTAACCTTATTGTTTCTCATAGACATTTCAAAGATTATAAAGGAGACCATGCACACAACAAAGGTATTTTTAAAACTTGAACTTTACTTCGTCAAGAGGCCAGCGAAAGAGCCAGTGAAACCCGTAGCTCAGTACTTGCTGGATGCGCTGGGCATAGGGGCAGGGGTTACTGTGAGGAAGCAAACAGAAGTGGAGCTTTGGGTGTCATATTGACCCCTACAGTTGAAGTCTGTGGTCCTTCAGATTGGAAAAAAAATATATCAATGAGAGAAGAATATGAACTAAGAAATACTTCAAAATACAGTCTCACCAATCATCGAAAGAAAGAACAGCAAAAGAGAAAAATATACAAAGCTATAAGCTACTAATTCACACAAGAAATTTTAAAAATCATATCGAAAAAGATGCTCCACTCCATTGGCAGCCATCAGGTACAAGAAAACATTTCTTTTTAAATGCCAAACTTAGTAAACGGCACTTTTTGATAACTGTAAGTGCTTTTCATGAGATAGGAGGGCAAATGTCTTGAGTTCTGCCAGGAGGATAAGTAGGCATGCCTTCCAGAAGACAGGGCTTCAAAGTGACAGTGGACTTACTCTGCAGGAGTGGTAGAACACACGAGGTCATACCAAACAGAGACCCTGAGCAAAGAACCATGACTGCAGGAATGTCTTCTGCGGCTGGTCCAGGTCTGCGGAGCAGCTGAGTCACAAGACAGTGTGGTTTGATTTATGTGAAACTGTGCACGGTGTCTAGGAAGAGCCTGTGGGCTCTTCACCGAACTGCTCGTCTCTGGGAGGTGGGCTCGCCTCCCATTTCTTCACCTGTGTTGATATTTTAATGATTTGTGGGGGTTTTGATAATGAAAGGCGGCTAGCAAAGCTTTCTTTAGAAAGTGATGTCACAGCAAATGACCCAGCCCTTGAAGACTCCTTCTTATCTGTAACTGTATTTGGGCCATTTGTTTGTCTTCAGCATTAAAAAAATGTCAGTATTGGAACTACTTTATTATATTTCTGGGACTTCAGAAGGTCTATTACCACCTGTGAGGAAATGTGCCCAGGTCGCCCTCTGCTGGCTCACCTGGAGATAACCCAGGAGCAAGGGGTGGTTCACAAACTCTACTCAGACTGCCAAGCACTTCTTCCTGCTGTAGTGAGGGCTTTGACATTCGTCCAGAGGGTCTTGAAGGTAAGAATAAAACCCCATAAGTTAAATGCTTATCATCCTTATGCTAAACCCGAGATTGTCTCAATTGTAAAACCTGCATCTACTTGGAAACGTTTTGATGTGGTGTCTAAATTGCAGGTCTGGGACATACCAGAGACTTTAAGGGAAAACTGGGAAGAGCTCTGGGGGCCTTGAACTCAAAGCAGCGAAGTATCTTCTGGGGAAAGAGGAAGATGGCTCCCAAATGTGTCCGGCTGCTCCTACTGCTGAGCTGCGTAGCTGGCCCCGAAGTCCTGAGTGGTGAGTTCAGTCACTTACTGGAAGGCAGCCACAGGCAGCAAGCACATAGTGCACACATCGCACACATCATCCGTTCACCCCTCAGGCATTTCAGGAAAGAAATACCAAAGAAGGAAAAGTAATGCGATGTGTCAAAGGCTATACCGTCAAGCAAAGCCAGCCCCAGATTAAATAGTGGATTGCAGAATAAATTTGGCAAGTTTGTCATGAATGATGGAGAGACTGGTTTAGGTACCTGACAGATATCAGGCTGTCTGTAGCTGACAGCTATAGTCACAACGCCCACACATCTATGCACTGTTCTCTTATTTGAGCATATTACAAGGTCCACTTTACCAGGAACCTGCAAGCCTAGTTGCAGAGATGGCTATTGCTCACTCATAGACCAGTCATTAAGAGCAGGAGCATGCCAGCGGACAGTATAGGGTCTCCAGGAGAGAAAACAGGACGAGGAAAGTTGGAGTATGCTGAGAAAATATGCCGTGGAATATCTGGACTGGAGCGAGATGAAATGTGGGCTCATCTAATATAACTGCTTTGTTGAATCTATGAGTGAAATGAGGACAGAGAAAGACATACTTGCCACAAGTCACATCGCCAGACTATGTGGTGCTCTGGCCAGTTCCTAGTGTTGGACATCTCCCACAGTCCTCCATAGCCTCGCTGGGAGTTGGAGATGGCAGTGTAAAAATCGCTTGTTTGAGCATTACCTCTGTTGAGGAAAGATGCCACTAAAAGATCCATTGAGGCCGAAAACTTCTTGAGTGGGCTTGACCAAGGGGAGGAACTAATGCAAGGGAGTGTCAGGAGAAAAAGTGTTTTGGGGTCATCAGCTGAAGACTGTGGTCCTGGCCATAGCCTGCTCTTGCTATGGCTTTGTGTGACACTCACTGACCCCAAGCCCATACCTGCCTCCAGCTGTCAGTTCTCTCAGCATTTATGACTTCTGGGGACCAGGAATTCAACCACCATTTCTGCATCCTGCAAGAATGCACAGAGCACCAGAAGCTGCCCCAGCCCCTGCTGAGCAGCCTTCCAGCCATTTCCATACGCTGTTCCGGGGCTGCCCTGACTGGCTGTATCTGCTTTCCCATAACAGCTTGACATTTGCTCTGACTGCATTCTGGAGAATAAGATAAGACGCTCTAACTCGTTTCCCAGGACTTCACTAATCTCTTTGGCTCTCCCCAGGAGCAGATACAGCCAAAACATATACCATGGGTCCTTCCATGGCTCTTTTCCAGACCGCTCTTCCTCCCAGCTGTAGAAAAACTTTTTGTTGATCGTTACAGTCCTGAGAGCTGTGCTTAGGACAGATTCCATATATTTGCACAACAGCTTATGGAGAATGTCTAATGTTGCATTTAAAGGAGGTGAGGATAACTTAGAAATAGATTTTCTCTTCAGAAGAGGCTGATGGCCAAGACTATAGCTCTATCATCCCCACAATGGTTCCTTGCCCTGGCCTGTGGCTGCCTGGAAACTCAGTGATGAGAAACAGAGATATTTAGAGACAATGGGAACTGCATCTGGTTAATATTTTCAGTAATATTCCACCCGTTGCTGTAATAACGGTGATGGTTTTTAAAAGCTATAATTCTAGCTGAGTCTGGTGATGCATGACTGTAATCCTGGCTGCTCAGGAGAACAGTGCAGAATGATCTCAGAGCCCTGATCTGCCTCGGCTACACAGAGCTCAAGGCCAGTCTTAGAAGATTAAATAGACCCTGTCTTGGGTTTAAAAAAAAAAGAGTGGGTTAGGGTGCAGGTTTACATACCAATCAATCCCAATCCTGTATCATACAAGAAAGCTATAGTTCTAACCAGCAGTCATTTATTCAGCAATTGCTATGTGCTAGGCCGCATGCTAGCCACTGTGTATGCATTACGTGCGTACTATCCCACTAACCCTCCAAGCAACCCTGTGGGGAAGTATGTGTTGCTATTTCATTGCGCAGACACAAAACCTGAGTTATAAGAGGTTGGGAGAGTAGAAAGACCACTAGAGATGTGGAGCCTGGGTGCCAGGACCTGTCCCTTCTTGTCACCCCATGCTTAGCAATGAGGAATGTTGGCACTTTGGTAGAGAGGTGATAACTGCTGAGAAAACAGTGACTCCTGGTTGGTCATTCTCATCTCTCCAGTGACCGTTCTCATCTCCCTGGGAAGTTTGACTGTTAAAATAGGGCAGCCTGCATAAATGTGATTGGCTTGCGGGGGTTTTTGTTTGTTTGTTTGTGTTTTGTTGTTTTGTTTTATTTTTTACATAGCATAACTTGAGCATGACTAAGATGGATGGAACTTCTAACTCCGAGTTACACTGCCTAGGTCACATCCTAGCTCTTTCTTGCTACGGGAGTGTGAGGCGCAACAATTTCTTTCTGCCTTTGTTTCCTCATCTGGGACGTGGTGATAATATCAGGAGCTACTTAGTGAGGGTGGGTGGGGTGGGCTCCAGAGTGATAGTAAAACCGCCCAGAGCAGGACCTGGTACTGAGGAATGCTGGGTAAATGTGTGGCTTGGTAGAAGGCATTACAGCTCAGGGACCCAGAAGCATTTCTAGCAGCTGAGACGTGCCCACCAGGGGGCGCATGTTGGCAGCTGCAAGAATGCTGGGCTAAGGTTAGAAAGGAAGATGGAGAAGAGCAGAGGGGAGGAGAGAATGAGAGGCAGAGGGGCAAAGAGTGGCACACAGGACACAGAGGGCAGCCAAAGAGATAGAAGAATGGAAAAGACAGAGGTATCGACGCACACCCAGACAGGGAGAGGCAGAGTGGTAACTGCCTGGCTGGAGGCAGCCTGATCTTAGATCTCTGTACTCTGCACCCTCTGGATCCTCTGTTTGTACCCCAACGAAGGGTTAACTTAATTAATCTTACTCAATAAAAACCAAGAATCAGATATGAGGGTAAAAACCTGGAAGATCAAAGACCTGGGAGCAGCCGCCGATTGCTTTCTGTTTCTCTCTGTTCCTCAGTCCCAAAGGACCCAGATCCTTTCTCCACCCGCTATCTCTTCCTGCCTCCCTGTCCTCCAAACCTCTGTGGCTAGCGCCCCACTCTGACTCCAAGAAAGCTTCGTCAGAACACAAACAAAACACCACACAGCACCCCGAGATCCACACAGCACCCGAGATGGCTGTTCTCAAGTCAGGGGAAGCGAACGCCATAGTGGAGTAGGATCTTTTCCATGTGTCTGCTCACAGAATATCAAGCCAGCTTGCTCCAGGTCATATAATAGGCCGAGGAGAATCGTGCTGGAGCACAGTGTCTTGCAGGGTTCTTGTTCTTACACTCAGTTGCCGGTTCCTCTACATGGTTACCTAGGTGACCAATCCCCAGGTCTTCACACTTCGGGTTGGAGATTTTTGGCTTCCCTTGCCTCTTTTTTTGAACACTCCCACCAGCATTAGGTTAGAAGGTATGCTTCCTGTGTTGGTTACTTTCTTCTCTGCAGCGATCAAATACCCGACAAGAGGCAGCCCAGGAAGGAAACATTTCTTTCAGTGGACACTTTGGAAGATACCATCCACAGCTGTGGGGAAGGTGTGGTCCAGGAGGGCGATATGGTCAGGAAGAAGAGAGCTGGCAAGCATTGGGGCGGGGCCACTCAAGGCCTGCCCATAGGGATCCACTTCCTCCAGTAAGGCTCTACCTCCTAAAAGTTCCGCAGTCTTTTAAAACAATGCCAGCTGGGGAGCAACTGCTCGGATATATGAGCCTTGGGGGACATTTCATTGGTTTGAAAACTATAACCCTTCTCAATGATCGGCCTTGTCCTAGTTGGAGTTACGATTGCTGTGATGAAACACCACGATCTAAAGCAAGTTGGGGGAGGAGAGGGTTCATCTGGCTCACGCTTCCACATCATGGTCCATCATCAAAGGAAGTCAGGGCAGGATCTCTAACAGGTCAGGGACCTGGAGGCAGGGGCTGATGCAGAGGCCATGGAGGGGGCTGCTTACTGACTTGCTCTCTATGACTTACTCAGCCTGCTCTCTTATAGCATCCAGGACCACCAGCCCAGGGATGGCACCACCCACAATGGGTTGGGCCCTCTCCCACCAATCACTAATTAAGAAAATGTCCTAAAGCCCTATCTTATGGAGGCATTTTCTCAATAGAGACTCCCTCCTCTCTGATGACTCTAGCTTGTGTTGAGTCTACATAAAACTAGTCAGCACAGACTCCCTTCCCCGCCCCACCCCACTCCCCACCCCTGCCCCAAAAAAGCTTTGGTTTCCAAAGCCATCCACTTTCACAATTTAATTTCTGTGATCTAAAACAAAACAACAACAACACATTGGTGCATTCCTATAATCTCAGCACTCAGAAGGTTGAAGCGGGAACATCTACTGTAGTCTAGCCTGGGCTACATAGCAAAACACTCTTGCAAATAACATTATTTTTTTAAGGAAAAGAAAAATATTTAGTATCAGATTCAAAAATTAAGATTTCCTTTACTTTTTGCAAATTTTCTTGTAAAACAGCTGAGACTTCTCAACTTTGTAATCATTTGTTATTAAGTTCCCAATTTCTCATTTTTGTATATTCATAAATCAAAGGTTGGAAGGATTCCTGGTAGAAACACGGGTTTTAGGCCATAAAATTGACCTTAAAGAATAGCTTTTCTGTTTTACAGTGTGAGACTTTACCAGGTAACCATCTTGTCCAGTTTCATCTTTCTGACTTATTTTGATAAAAATAAAGCCGGAATAAGCTGCTTAGCCTAATGCCTAGCACTGAACAGCCTGCGGATGGTGGCTGCAGCCAGGGTAGCAGTGGAATAAATGCTTTCCCTTTACTCAATGTAAAATCCTGTTTCTTCTAACAGTAGAAATAAATGAGGATCTTTGCTGCTTGGCATCAGTGTATTTCAGATAATCCTCAGAGTCTTTTTGTAACAGTCACTCTACATTGTCAACTCTTGGAGTCCCCTAGGAGACACACCTTTGGGTGTTTCCAAAGAGGGTTAACTGCCGAAGGGAGATTTAGCCTGAATCCGGACAGCACCATCCCATGAGCTGGGGTCCTGGCTTGAATACAAAGAAGAAAGTGAGTTGAGTACCAGTGTCCATCTCACTCTGGTTCCTGACTGGAGATGTAACATAACCACTACCTCATGTTCCTGGTGCCTGGTCCTTCCTGCTTTGAAGCGTCGTTTTCCCTCAAGCTTGAAGCCAAAACAAACCCTTTCCTCCTCTGGTTGCTTTTGTCACAGCAGTGAGAGAAATAATTAATAGACTCCCCTTCCACTTGTTAGCTCGGTTAGTGATTATCCATCATTCACAGATTCAGTCACACACGCAATGAATCTAGATCCGTAAGAAGCATGGAGTTACAGATCAGCTGGGGTTGGTGCCTGGGAGGGTGCAGCTAGATGGGTCAAGGAGACTGAGCTGAGAAAGGTTGCCAGTGCTAAGGAGCGAGGGCTGGAAGCATGGCTCAGCTGGCACAGGGTGCACCTAACATGCGTGAAACCCTGGGTTTGACACTCAAGCACTTCATCGTCTGAGTGTGAGGATCACAGATATGCACACCACGCCTGGAATATGCAGAGTTGGGAATCAAACCCAGGGCTTTGTGTTCGAAAGGCAGGCATCCCACCAATTTACCTAGATCCCCAGCCACACACAGCAGACATCTTTAGCACCGCAGCAGGGTCCTTCCGAAATGGACTCTTCCCTTTTTATAAGGTGTTCCTAATCCAAAATCTGTGTCTCATCACCATACTGATTTTTTTGACATCAAAATCTATGACTGTCTTTTGTTTCTGTACAGACCTCGTGAGACCCAGCTGCGCTTCAGGGTGGTTTTACTACAAGTCCCACTGCTATGGGTACTTCCGGAAGATGGGAAACTGGTCTCATGCTGAGGTGAGAAATTTGAGCTGCTGTTTTCTTTTAGAGAAAGGAGCCAGCTAGAGCTGTAGATCATGTTTGGCTTAAAAGTCAAGGTTTCTTCCTGGGACCCCAGGAGAAGCCTCATGACCCTCAGATAGCTAGAAATACACATGTCAAAGGAGCATGAAGCATGGAAGGACTTGTACAAAGAATAAATGAATTCCCCTATGATAGTTACCCGAGAGAGTGATGTGGAAATGCCTGAAACAGGTCTCAGGGACACTAGGCAAACAGACAAGCGACAGAAATGGGAGGTGATTTCATCTGACACGCCCCACACGTGCCTGGATTTCATTCTTTCTAGCTATGTGTAAGATGTCTCCAGATATCTGAATAGCCAGTCCAAGCAAGTGGAGAATTGATGTTGCTGTCTCTGCAGCTTGGGACTGATTGACACCTGTAGATGTGGCAGAGTGGTCTCAAGTGTCCTGTGTGTAACTCCATAGAGAAAGGAAAGGAACAAGGGTGGCAAACCTACCACGTGACAGCTACTGGGGATCAGGCTGTGTTCTCTGACTTCCAAATCTGAGAGGGCGGGGTGTGGTGGAGTACACCTACAACTCCATCTCTTTCGAGCTGAGATAGGATATCATGAGTAGTTTGAGTCCTGCCCTGTCTACATGGGGTACTTCCCCTCAACAACCAAGTGATGCATGAAAGAAATGCATGCCTGTGACGTCTAAACAGAAAATTTCATTGCCTTGTAAGCAAAAATGACTTCCATTTGATTAGACCAAGAGAAGTAGCAAAGACAATCCAAGGGATGGAATGTCTTAATGAGTGGAGTCAGAATAGCTGGGGTCAGAGAGGGAAAGAAGAAAGACTGAGAGAGCAAGAGGTAGGAAGAGGGAGAGCCAGGCAACCCCAAAATCTGCAATTATGAGGAAACTGTGTCTCACAGAGGTGAAGTGACTTATTAGGGTCACTGGGGCCCGGTGCACTTCCTCTGACCCTAAATCTCCTGCCCTGGCTTTGAGCTTTTGCTTCCTCTGGAACCCGACACTGTGGCCTTCTGTCTTCTCCTATAGTGACAGAAATCACCTGTGGGGTTCAGATCCCAGTTTCTGGGGGGCGGGGAGGAAATCCATCCTTCTTGGCACACCAGGGCTCCAAGGAGAGAGCTGTATGCTCATGGCATCATTAATCGGACCTCTCCTTGCAGCTGGAGTGTCAGTCATATGGAAATGGATCCCATCTGGCATCTGTCTTGAATCAAAAGGAAGCCAGCGTCATATCAAAGTACATAATTGGCTATCAAAGAAACCTGCCTGTGTGGATTGGCCTGCATGACCCCCAGAAGGTAACCCCATGTTTGGCTCACAGAGCCTCTTGGGTAACCCAGGATGACAATCCTTTCCTGAGAAGTGGCCTCCTGGCCTACAAACAGGACAAAAGTAGTAGCCAAGCACCTCCAAAGACCCAGGACAAGGCCTGAAGGTCAGGGACCCCTTCTTTCAGTCAGCAGAAGAAATCATTTAAATAGCTCCTTTTTGTAGAACTTTAATTAAGGTCCTCCTGGAGCTTCAGACACAAAATTACCAACTTTCTAGAACCTTCCAAACAAGGAAAGAGAGACAAGAGTGGGAGAGGAAAGCATGCAAGCCGATCTTCTAGAGGATTCAGAGAAATTTAATTGCCTTTGGGTCTTAATTAAAGGTGAAAACATTCAGCTAACCTTTTCCTGAGATTCTGTCACTTTTTTAATCATTCTTAATTCTTTCCTCTGGACCCCTCTGTCCTCTCCATCAGCACGTGACTATGAGAAGTACCACAGGATGTCTGTGTTTATGGATTGGGGTGGGGTGTCTACACCTACCTGAAATGGAGATGTAGGGGGGCAAGCCCTGCTTTCAGATCCTGATGGCATAGTTGGAGACACCAATGCTCACACACCTTATTCCATGAACATGTGGTCACCCTTTGGCAATTGCCTGTGAACCACAACATATTTTGTCTTTAGAATATTGCAGAAAAACAAGTGTTTTTTTTGCTATAACTGTTACACAGTTATTTGCTTTAAACGCTATTTATTTGACTTGCACGAATTTTAACTATTAAAATATTTTTATATTTTTACTTCCTATACATGAGTGTGTGCCTGCATGTATGTATTTGCCTGGTGCCTGGGGAGGCCAGAAGGAGCTATCAGGTACTCTGGAACTGGGATAACCATGTGGGTGCTAGGAACCAAGCTTGGGCCCTCAGTAAAAGCAACAAGTACTTTTAACAGCTGAGCCATATGTCCTGATCCTCCCCCTTTTGAGACAGAGTCTCACTGTGTAGCTTCGGCTGACCTGGAACTCACTACATAGACCAGACTAGCCTCAAATTCACAGAGATCTGCCTGCCTCAAGTGCTGGGATTAAAGGTGTGAGCCACCACACTCGACTGAATATTTCCTTGTGTATCATTTACTTTGCTGTCAATTAAAACTCAGCTTTCTGAGATAAGCTATATATTTGCATCTATTTTGTGACATGTTTTTGTAGTTTGATTTTTTTACATGTGTGACTGTGAGACACAAATGACAAATGTTCTAAATCTGTACTTTTATCTCTAATAATCAAGGAAATGCAAACTAAAATAATTTAATTTGACTTATATTTCAACATTTTTCTTTGTATCATGAATAATATCTTGTGGATATAGAGTAATGGTCCATATGCCCAATCAGTGAGCATGTAAATTTGTACAAGTGGACAGTTTTGGGAAAGTACTGTGTCAGTGGGTATTGATAACCTTAAGGCAGTCACATTCTTGACCCATTAATTCTGTTTCTGGGATATATATTACAAGGAAATAATTTTGAGAACACAGAGTGAATCTCAACAATATTAGTCATACCAGTGTCTTTCATAGTAATTGGAAATTGGAAACAATATACTGAGTAGTTAATAGGAGATTGTTAGGTAGACTATGGTGCATCCTTGTATTGAAGACAGGTTTAGAAAGCAAATGAAAGACTTGAATATCTGTTTCAAAGAGGAAAGTATTTTCAGTACATTGATAACCATGTTTCCATCACAAGTAAATGTGCTAAAATATTAGTGATGTTTTCCACTGTCACTGAATGGAGTGGCTTTTCTAATTTGGTTATTCATACATTTCTAAACTCCACCCTATGAAACCCCATTTCGCTGGGCTTAAGACCCAGCATGACGGTGGGAGGGTGAACCGGCTGACTTGCACATTCCCTCTGTTTCCTGTCGTTGCAGAATCAGTTATGGCGATGGATTGATGGGTCCACACAGCTGTATACACCCTGGAATCACAAGTCAGAGAGTGGAGCCAAGCACTGTGCTGCGCTGAACCCCAAGGACAGTGAGTTTCCTGCACCACTTCCCTCTCTCCAAGCTAGAGCTCTGTCCTTTAGTAAGAGCAAAAGGAGCATCCTTGTTCTCCTCCCAATACCCCTCTCACTCAGCAACACCACCTTACAGGACAGTGACCTCGGCACACAGTCTATGAACCTTCAGCTCCCTGGGCCTACTCTGCAGTCTTTGCCAAATCAATAGGGCAGTAAAGGAATTGTTTAATAGCAAGGGAGCAGGCATGAGGCGACAGACAATGACAAAGGCGTCAGAGGCAAAAAGCAGCCCCCACTGTTGCTACGATAGCAAGTTAGCCAAAACACAGGAGAAGTCATAGGTACAAGCTACTAAAACAAGGCTGCCCACCCAAGTTGAGGGAAAACGTAATAGTTAACACTGTCCAAACCCACAGTGAGCTACCCCAGGATGCAGCTAGAAGCCCACTACCAGAGTCAACCAAAGAAAAGGTAGACATTTTGTTTTCATTGTGGTAGAAACTGTGTTATAAGAGAGACTCAAAGTCACAAAGATCAACTGGGCAATATTCCAGCAGAACACATTCCAGGGACTCTCAGACCCTCCATATCTGCCTTTTAGCCAGAGCAGCTTTGTGGAAGCAGTTGGCCAGATGTTTCCCTCAGCCCTCCGCATCCCCGTGGTTCTGGGCTCCTCACTAGATGAAGTTCTCCAGTCTTTCCTGTCATCAGAGCCCCACACTGAAGGAGCCTGTGGCAGGGAAGTGGGAGCCTGAGTCTCTTCATCCCATCCCTTCCACCTAGCCTCACCTCAGCACACAGCAAACAGAACCCAGGCTTCAGACACAAAGAAACCCAAAGAAGGGGGCCGGGGAGGTGGCTCGGGGCAGTATGCTTGTTGCGCAGGCATGAAAACCTAGGTTTGAATCTCCAGAACCCACATAAAGATGGACAAGGTAGTGTGCATGTGTAATCTCAGCAGGTGGACAGGAAGATGGGATGGGGGGGTGGAGGCAAGAGAGTCCCTGGAAGTTCACAGGTCAGCCACATGTGGGGGTGGGGGTCGGGGAAGAACATAAAATTAGGTAATCAATTAAAAAACCAGGGAAAGGAACAAGGCTAGTGAAGGGAAGGACTTAAGGGAAAAATCTTCATGAGACCCCTGCCCAGTACTATTTTATATCTGTAGAATGCTCTATGTACAGTCATGCATGAACTCTGCTCTCTGTGACAGGACACATTCGTGTTTTCTTTCTATTTGGGAAGAACTTCTGGGTATTTTGTCCCTTGTGTCCTTTCGTCATTCCCCTGGGACTCTCCACTCTGCATCCTACTCTAACTGCTCTGTGACCTACTACTTCACTTTGGGACTGTAAACTAGCACAGGCCTGTAATTCCAGTACCTGTGAGGCTGAGGCAGAAGGCTCATCAAGTTCAAGGCTAGCCTGGGCAATGTAGCAAGACCCTGTCTTATAATAAAAAGTTAAGAGGAGAGCTGAGGATATAGCTCATCAGTAGAACAATTGTCTAGTATATTTGAAGGCCTGGATTGTAGTTAGTGTTTTTTTTTCTCTTTGGCAGCCAGCTACCAAGCTCCCAAATAAATACATGGAGACTTATTCTTACTTATGAACACCTGGCCTTACCTTGGCTTGTTTCTAGCCAGCTTTTCTAACTTAAATTACCCAATTTCTCTTTGACTTCCTTTAGGCTCTGGGCCTTTTCTTTATATATCTTTCTTTCCTTCTTAATCTGTGCCTGTGTGTGTGGCTGAGTGGCTGGCCCTGGCATTCTCCTCTCCTTCTCATTTTCTCTATCCTTCTTTATTCCCTAGATCTCTCCTCCTATTTATTCTCTCTGCCCACTAGGCCTGCCTATTCTTTCTCCTGCCTTGCTATTGGCCATTCAGCTTTTTATTAGACCAATCTGCTGTTTTAGACAAGCAAAGTAACACTGCTTTACAGAGTTAAGCGAATGCAACATGAAAGAATGCAACACATCTTTGCAGCATTAAATAAATATTGCATAGCATATTTATTTATATGAATGTAACACATCTTAAACTAATATGTCACAACAGCTGGGTTCAATATTCAGTGCTGTAAGAAACAAGAAAGAAGGAAAAAGAAAAGTTATGCCCAGTCTGGCTGGGGGTCAAGGGCAGGAGCTCTGTGTTCTGAATGACCTTGTAGAAATATGGTATTTTCCTCTTGCTGAGCTGTCTGAGCCCATGCAGACTTCCTTCTCATGCCTCAGATGCCTCCTTTGAAAGGGAGAGAGCAGAATCCCCATCACCTTAATATTCACTCAGTGTCTTCATATGTATAGGCTGAGCTCAATGCCCAAATTTGGTGTGCTTACACCCCTTCCCCATTCCCAGCACTTCCTCCTGTTTGGTGTCCTGGGAGGCAGGCAGGAGGAGATTAGACTGGGTACCAGTCTAGGTGGGTACCCATGGGTAAGCTGCTCTTGGTTACTGGAAGCTGTTCTTTCAACTCTTCTCCGGACTTAGTGGGTTTACCAAAGCACCCTACACAACTAAATGTCCAGCCAGCCAACCTGAGTTCTGCAGGGCTGATTCCAGGCTAGCATGCTTGGGCACACACCTTTACTCAATAAGCCTATAGTTCTCATTTCATCATGTTCTGGTGCCCTAACTACAGGCCACTTGAATTAGGACATATGCGCAACTACCCTTTGTGTCTCTGGAGTATGGGAAGTAAGAGTAGTTGACAGGGTCAGACCTGCAGGTCAAGACCCAAGCAGACACCAGCTAAGGGGAAACTCAACAATCTGCCACAACCTCTTCAGGATGACAAGGACTGAGGAATTCCAAGGAAAGAAATAGTTGGGCCTCTCCTAAAATATATATTTCAGTTCCCCGAAGGTCCCCAGTTTGTGGCCCAGTCCTTTTTTTTAAGTGAGTAACCTGTTGGGCCATGACTGGTTACGATGGCTTTCCGGCTTTGAAGTTCACCTTGGAGCTTCTCAGAGCTTGGCTATGGAGTCTAGGAAAACCATCCCAGGTCCTTGATGCATCCATTTCAAACACAAAGGAGGGGCTGGAGGAATAGATCAGCAGTTGTCTTAGTTAGGGTTTCCACTGCCATAATGAAATGCCGTGACCAATAGCAAGTTGGAGAGTGAAGGGTTTATTTAACTTTCCCTTGCACAGCACTTTTCATCATCAAAGGAAGTCAGGACAGGAACTCAAGCAGGGCAGGAGCCTGGAGGCGGGAGTCGATGCAGAGGCCATGGAGGGGTGCTGCTTACTAGCTTGCTCCTCATGGCTTGCTCAGCCTATCCTCTTACAGAGTCCAGGACTACCAGCCCAGGGATGGCCCCACCTACAATGGGCTGGGCCCTCCCCCACGAGTTACTAATTAAGAAAGTGTCCTACAGTTTTGCCTACAGCCTGATCTTATGGAGGCATTTTCTCAGTTGAGTATCCCTCTTCTCTGATGACTCTAGCATGTGTCAAGTTGACATAGGACTAGCGAGTACGGCAGTTGAGAGAAACTGCTGCTCTTACAGAGGATAGGAGTTTGGTTTCCAGCACTCATGTTGGGCAGTGCGCAACCTCTTATAACTCCAGCTCTAGGGGGCCTGATGCCCTTTTCTGGCCTCTGTAGGCACCCACACACATGCACACATGCACTCCAGCTCACATGGGCAGGCACACGTGTGCACACACACATGCATGCATGCATGCACATATGTATATAAATAAAAATGAAAAATCTTAAATTAAAAAAACCCAAACAACCAAGTCAAGCCCCACACACAAAGGAAGCCTTCCCTAGGTCTGTGTCAGGTGCTCATACAATCTGCAGTGATGTCGGAAAGTGGCTGTTTATGTTAGGGGTCCCTAAAGAGCCAGTAATGGGAGGTGGAGATGCTGGAGTGGGGGTAGGGGAGCAGGAAATTACTGCAGGACTTGATTGGAAAGACTGAACCCAAAGCAATTAAGGGGAAAATCTTCTGTTCCAGGAAGCCCTTGGTCTGGTCCTCTTTATTCAATGTCTTTTGATTTGAGTGTCAACAATATCTATAAAATTCCCACAGAGCAATATCTAGGCAGCTAAGCAATTAGCAATTGCTGGACGTCTGGACTAAACTACCATATCCTACCCATGTTGGCACCTAAAATAACTGCTGCTGGCCTTTGTCCAGGACTCCAAGAAAAACACACAGATAATTCTGGTAAATTCAGTAATGAGCGAGCTTGGTTTAAATGTCCTCATTTTCTTACAGAATTTTTAACTTGGAACAAAAACAGATGCAGTGATTACCAACATTTCCTGTGCAAGTACAAGCCATAGAACAAGAACCAAGTGTCTGCCAGCTTCGTACAAGCCCCTTCTTCTTCCCTCTCACCTGGTGGCTGATGTAATCATTATCCCGGAGAGTAAATGCAGCAGCAAACACTGATGAGTCCTCCAGTACACTGACTATTAGGCTCAGAGAGCTTGGCATGGTGGGACAGTGACTTCTGGTCTCAGAGCTTGGCATGGTGGGACAGTGGCTTCCGATCTCAGAGCTTGGCATGGTGGGACAGTGGCTTCCGGTCTCCGAGCTTGACATGGTGGGATAGTGGTTTCCAGTTTCAGAGCTTGGCATGGTGGGGCAATGACTTCTGATCTCAGTGTTCACGCTACAGTCTTTTCTAAAATTCCACTTTTCTTTGGCTATTTAAACAAATAAAAATGTACCTCCTGACCACTGGGTCTCTGTCATACCAGTAACGTTTTGGAGCCAAGAAACAAACAGGCAAGAGTGAACTTCTGACCCTTCAGCCCCTGTAACCTCCGAGCTCCCTCTGTTGCCCATACACACTCCCTTACTTCCCTGCTGTTCATCCTCTTGCCATGGAATGTGTTACTCTAACGGGGCCTGTCAACCTCCAAATAAATTGTAATAGTGAGATTTCAGAGGCAGTGAGAGGTAGGCACAAAAGGGTCATTTTCACTGGAATGATAGCCACCCACTCCAAAGAGGGATCTGGACAGATCACTGCCCAAAAAGTAAAAGCATCAGATTCCTGGTAGAGACGGTCCATAAACTGATGGTGCAGGCCGATGGGAGCCACATAGAACCCAGACCCTGAAGCGCAGCAATATGAACTGGAACGTAAATATCCCCTCAAGAGAGAAGGCCTTGTTGTCTATGGAATAAGATGCAGGAGAAAGAAAAAAACCCGGGCCCACTTTCCCTCCTAATTCATTTACATCCCCGTATCTGCCAAGGAGAGATAAAATAAAAGTCCAGGTAGTAACTGATAAAAGTATATTCTACAAACACTGAAAAGGCTCTTAGAATGGGTTTGAAGTAGTTCTGCATGGGGATCACAGCCATTTTGGGACAATCTTTGTGGATGGCAAAGCGCCTGTCCTGAAACTGTTGCAATACTGGGAAGAGGCATGTCTTCACCCGCGCATGATGGACATCCTTCACACGGACAAATGGCTCCCGTCTTGTTAGGAGAGAGACTGGTCCACAGTTACCTAGAGTTGTGCTGACCTTCCCGTATGCATACAAAATAAATTTCAGTAATCCTTAGGAATCCACATGGGCGTGGCATCACACAGATCTCCAGGAGTGCATGCAGGGTACCAAGAACCGATGCTTGGAGGCTAGGAAGCCATCCATAAGCAAAGCTGATAATCATCTTTGCCATCATGGACTGTGCCTTTCAGCAAGGCTGGGTGGTGGAGGGAGACAGAAAAATAAATCAAATGAAGTGGTGAGAAATGCTGTGGGGGATGGGTAAAACTGGTCAGGAGCAGAGGTGAGGAAACGCCTTGGGGTGTAGGGCATCCTGTATTTCTTATCCATTACAACTGACAGCCAGATGTTCCCAAATAAAGATGAGAATTTATTGATTTATGATATGTAATAATTCATAAAAAATGGAGAGTGGTATAACAGGACTAATGGCTAAAGGTAGTCCTAGGATGGGGTTTTCTCTCTTTATTTTATGGCTGGTTTGTTGGGAATTAGCCTCATTATTAGGCTGCATCTAAGAAGATAGATGTAATGACTCCAGCTTTCCCCAGCTCAGGAAAAGGTCTATGGACCTCACACAAAAGCTTCCAAATGAAGCCTGATTGGTCCAAAATAGCCAGGTGTGAGCTATGTGCTCATTGCTCCAACCAGTCATTAGGGCCAAGGGAACAGAATGTGACGATTAGCTTGGCTAAGTCATATTACAAGTAATTCTCCTAGAGATGAGAGCTAGGCTCGGAGGGGACCTTTCCTACCATAAATGGTGCCTTCGTAGAAATGGAAACTCCTTTACTGTGGGAAGTACAGCCTCAAGGCTCCCAGAAAGAAGACAGGCTGGACATTAGTTTGTCCGCTTAGTTATACACTCTTCCGCCATGCACAAAGTACCCTGCCCTGCTCTGTAGCCTTATGTGTGTGGAGGGGCCAAACTGCTTCTCCACCCAGGTGGCCAAGAGGCTTCCTTTGAGTAATGCCGTCCTAAGGCCCCACTTCCAAGACCTTCGGGAGTCTTTGTTGAGCCTGGAGAAGCACTTGATGCAAGAAAGAAAGCATTCAATATGGAATTATTTCGTGAGATGCGCCCATGGATACTTCGTGAGATGCGCCCATGGATACAAGCAGTAGCTATGTCAGTTTACTACAGTGAAAACAACGACTGTGGAATCACGTTGCCCTGGAGCTGACTGACTTCTCCAAGTTAGCTGTCCTCTTTTCTCAGGGATTTGAGGATTAAGCTAAGATATGTGAAGCGTTTGGAATGGGGTCTGGCCAATTCTTAACAAATGCCATCATCATCTTTGGAAGTCCCATGAGTTGTCATAATTAGCGGCTCGAATACCATGGCAGATTATAGTCTAACCGACTAGAGAGCATGGGAAGTCAGAGAAGTCTCGGTCTGCATAGGTCTCTGTGAGTGAGCCTGCCTAGCTTGTAGGAGAAAATCCAGACCCAAGACAATGAAGCAGATGCCGCATGCTAGCTTTTCATTGTAGTGACAAAAATCCCCGAGAAACCCAACTTAAAACGCAGGAAGACTTAATTTACTTTATGGCTTTGGTCTACAGTTATTTGGCCTGTCAAGAGCATGGGGTAAAATAAAGCTGCCACCTTATGCTGGTTGGGAAGGTGGAAAGGGCTGGCTTTTTGTAACAAAGCTGGAGACCCAGATGTTCTGTTCTGTGGTTTTGATCTGAAATGTGTCATGAAAGGCTCATGTGTTTTTAAAAGCCTGGCTCCCACTGAGAGGTAATAACTGAGAGGTAATTGGATCATGAAGGGCAATCCCTTGATATTTGACAGCAATGTGAGGAGTGATGGTTAGCTGGAAGTAGGTTCCTGGGGGAATGCTTCGGAGTCCCTTGTCCCCACCCTCTGCTTCCTGCCACCACGAAGTGAGCAATCCGCGTCTCCCTCACTTTCCACCATGATGCTCTGCCCCACCTCAGCTCAGAAGCAGAGCCAGACAACCACACTCGGATGCCTCTGTGTCAGTGGGGCAACAGAAGGAAACCTCTTACAATGATTTCTTTCGGGTATTTGTTACAGTGATTTGAAAACCAAACCAAACAAACCAAAAAACTAACGCATTATAAATCCATGAATGGGTCGGTTCATTCATGCAGTCAGAGCCCTCATGGCCCAAAGGCCCCGTTTCAGAACACAGCTGCACTAGGGACTAAGGCTTCAGCAATGTGAGTGTTTGTGAATAGGATTCAAACTCCAGCAGTTGCACACTAAGCGCTCATTCAGAAACATCAGTGTGTGCTTACTGTGTGAGAGGCGTTTGTAGTCACTGAGTTAATATGTACAAAGGAGACTAAGATGAGCTTGAGACTCCCAGAAGCCGTGTGTCTCCAGGTTAAATGTGGATGAATATCAGTGTGATCTCAGGTTAGATTCCTTAGGATTCAGAAAGCACAAGTCATCTAAGAGAAACATTGATTAATTTGGCTTCAAAATTTAACATTTTTGTGGGTATATGTGTGTAAATCATGTATATGCAGATACATTTATGTAGGCTCAAACACATACATACGCATACATAGATGTGGAAGCCAGAGGTCATAGGTCAACTTTGGGTGTCATCCTCAGGAGTTGTCCACCTTGCATTGTTGTTATTTTTTATATTGTTTTAGATTTTTGAGACAGTGTCTCACTGTGCAGCCTTTGCTGGCCTGGAACTCACTGTGTAGACTAGGCTAGACCTAAACTCATGGAGATCCACCTGCTTTTGTCTCCCAATTTCTGGGATTAAAAGGATGTGTCACTCTGCCAGGCCTCGGTTTTTATGATAGACTCTCTCACTGGGAGCTCACTGATCAGGCCAGCCTGATCGGTCACCACGCCCCAGGGATCCAGCTCTCTCTGCCTTCCCACAAGTTTATGCCACCACACCTTTGTCTCACATGGACAATGAGGGTCAAATTTAGGTTCTTACATTTGCATGGCAGGCATTTTCACTGACTGAGTCGTTGCCACCAAATTTAATATTTCGTTTTTAAAATATACTTTTGCAAATCTAAAAGATAGGCTGAAGAATGGAAAAATACGTGAATTTCAAACCCATCATCACATTGTGTTCGGCGGCCCTCAACTTTAACTGTACCAGAAGGTTTTCCCTTTCCCATCCTATCTATCTCCATCTGTTCTTCCTTTTATAACTACAAATACTTTTTTAGACAAACTATGGATTTCAGTTCTTCAAACCTCCCCAAAATAAAGTGAGCAGACCAATCACCTTCCCTGTCCTCAAGCTCATCATGGCTTCTAACATAAATTCCTGGGGAAAAAAGTTTAGGATTTATCTTTTATTTTTAATGATCTGTGTATGTATGAGTCTGTGCACATGTAGCTGCAAATGTCTGCAGAATCCAGCAGAGGGGGCCAGAGCCTCTGGAACTAGAGAAAAAGGCAGCTGTGACCAGCCTGACTTGGGTGTTGGGATGTAGACTTGGGTCCATACAAGAGCACGATGTGCTCTCAAATACTGAGCCCCCTTCTCCTGAGCCCTCTAGAACTCTCTCACATGTTGTGGAAAAGTTTCAGTGAGATGACACCCTTTCCCCTGGGGCCTGTCCTGTGCCTACTAGCCCCTATTCCCCTGGTTTCTAAAGCCATAACCTCTGCCCAAGTCTCATAACCATTTTATCTTATTTGCTTTTTATTAATTTTTGTTTAAATTAAAAACAATCTTATTTTACATACCAATCCCAGTTCTCTTTCCCTCCTCTCCTTTCATTCCCCCCACCAACCCTCTATCCCATCCCCATCCACTTCTCAGGGAGGATGAGTCCTCCCATGGGGGATCATCAAAGTCTGTCACATCATTTGAGGCAGGACCTATGCCCTCTCTTGTGTACCTAGGTTGAGAGAGTGTCCCTCCATAGGGAAAGGACTTCCAAAGCCTATTCATGCACTAGGGTAAATACTGGTTCCACTGTCAGAGGCCCCATAGACTTCATTACATTTTAAATATGTGTTTTCTCAATGGCTGTTTGTCTTCCAGACTTCATTTTCTCTATATGATGAGGGCCTTGAACTAATACTTCAAGGGCTAGTTTGATGTGTATAAGGGAAGTGATTCAATGGAAGGCAGCTGGGACTTTAGCACTCAAATCCATTCCTTTCAACTAAGTACAGCCAAACAAAGTAGGTCTGCTGACCTTTGCCCATGGGGACAGGCTGAAAACCCCGGAATGAACAACTCACTCTTT